CATGAAGGTAACATTTACAAAGCACTATGCATCTGATCCAATCTTGCAAGCATTCTCTTCACCCTTATATTGGTTTCCAGGACCCAGGAAATCCCACACTTGTCCCTAACTTGTTTCCCTCTATTTTCTGGCTTGAGGAATGTATACTAGGCAGTAAAGACTGTTTTTGCCCTTTGGTGAATTTTAGCTCCTTTACCTACTGTGGTCCAAACTAGAGTATGATTTTACACTCTGCTCTTATTTGGGGAAAACTGATCATTTGAAATTTGACTCTGCAATTGAAAAACAAAACACCACAATAATTAGTGGATCCAATGTGACTACATTTTATGAGGCTCACTTTAAAAAATGAATATACAGATTACTCCTTCATGCGTTTAAAAAAAAAAAAGAGGTCTTTAAGAGAAAAACATCACCATAAGGATTTGGTCCTGAATCTAAGTAGCTATACCTAGGTTCTTAAAGTGGGATCAGTCCTATTTGATTATGTCCTTTGCTCCAAAAACAGAGGAGTCACTTAAGAGAAACTGGGTTTTCATTGCCAAGGTTGACAAAGCCTTAAGCAACTCTTAGAGGCTTGGCAGAGGTGTAATCCTCAATTTCTTTTCCACAAAATCATCTTTTATTATAACAAAATAGTGTATCTGGTTCTATTACTATTGCTAGAGAAAACATAACAAGAGTACTATCTGAAAAGGAATGAAAGAGAAAAAACATCAGGTACCAGAAAGGTTAACACTGTTTTGAACCAAACATATTAGCTTATAATTACAATTCTATCATCATTTTTTCTTATTTAACTGAGAGAAAAACATGTATGCTACCAAGAGCTTTGCACTTGGCTCAAAGTCACTTTCTCTCAAACAAGTTATAATTTTTAACATCTTCAATATCCACAGCGATAGTTCTTCCATTATGCTGGCTTCTCCAATGCTTTGGTTCCCTTTCCTACAATAACACTGTTCTCTGCTCTGCTTCAACTTCTTACTGCCATGGTACCTTAGACCTTGTCTTTACTATAAGTACACTCGTCCACAGGACTTCTAGCCTCTATATTTTCAGATAATTCTCTCCAATATTCCAGATCCATTAATTTTTCAAACTCACTAGGCATGTTGATGCATTGAACTTACCACCTCTACACTGTCCCTCATCCCTTTACATCTCCATTCCTAGAACGGTTGAGTAAAGAAGAAATGCTTACACAATGTTTCACTCTTTCCTCAGATTTACAACATTTCCTCACTCTCAGCTAATAACCTAACTTCCTATTCCACTGAGAAACAGAAACAATCAGAAGAAAACCTCCAACTACTTCCTCCATCACATCTTCCAAATATTGGCATCTGAACTCATAAACACTTACTTGCCCACCAGCTAGGATTGTCTCCTCGGGAATGTATGCATAGATATAATTCTTTTTCCCATTTAACTCCAAATGATTCTCAGATCTACCTTAAGTTTATTCAATAGCCCCAGGTTAAGAACCACTAATTAAAAGAATGGTCTGTTTTTATGTCACCTTCCCATGAGTTACAAGAAGGTGGCAAGAGACAAAGGAACAATGGGGGTATACTTATTTCACCTAAAAATTGAGTAAGTTTTGTGGGACAATCTCCAATTAAAAAGGAGCTGATTCCATGTCTACTTCTGGGAAAAATTTAGGAGAGGTTGTTTGGTATTATGGCAAATATACCCATAAATTACTTCTTAATTGCCAAGGTAAAAAAATAGCCTTTAACCATAGAAAAATCTGCCTGTCAGCACTTGAATCCAATGATCAAATTTATCATCACTAGTAATGGGACCCACCTGACATTAAACACCTCCTAATGCAGTGATGGCGAACCTATGACACGCGTGTCAGAGGTGACACGCGAACTCATTTTTTTGTTGATTTTTCTTTGTTAAATGGCATTTAAATATATAAAATAAATATCAAAAATATAAATCTTTGTTTTACTATGGTTGCAAATATCCAAAAATTTCTATATGTGACACGGCACCAGAGTTAAGTTAGGGTTTTTCAAAATGCTGACACGCCGAGCTCAAAAGGTTCGCCATCACATTAGGACCTAATGTGAGACAATATAAATGGCACAGTATCATCCAAAAAGCATCCTTTTTTTAATCTCAACCACTCAAGAATCTAGTAACTTGCAGTTTACAGGAAATTCAAGGTCTAGAACAGGGGTGGGCAAACTTTTTGACTCGAGGGCCACAATGGGTTCTTAAACTGGACCGGAGGGCCGGAACAAAAGCATGGATGGAGTGTTTGTGTGAACTAATATAAATTCAAAGTAAACATCATTACATAAAAGGGTACGGTCTTTTTTTTTTTTTAGTTTTATTCATTTCAATCCAGCCCGCGGGCCGTAGTTTGCCCACGGCTGGTCTAGAAGCACAAATAAATACAATTTAAAAATTCAGAATTAAGGCATTCTTCAGGACAACTGGCTTGGTTTCTTTAAAAAAAAAAAATCAAAGTTATTTTCTCTTTTGGGGGATGGGCGGGCGGGGAATAATGATTAAGTTTTGGGTTAAAAGAGACCAAAGCCAGTTAAAACCCAACTGCAATAGGCAATCATTGATAGGATCCTGGTTCAAAAACAAAGTACTGTAAATTAAATCTTTACTTAACATCATAGATAGGTTCTGCAACTTTAGTTGAAATGAAGTATAACAAAACCAATTTTATCATAGGCTAATTGATATAAACAAGAGTTAAGTTCCTACGACATCTCATCATCAACAACATTATAGAAAAAACTGGGACATTTATACAATGGAATACTATGCACCTGTAATTAAGAAGGAATTCTTACCCTTTGCGGCAGCATGGATGGACCTGGAGACTTATTATGCTAAGTGAAATAAGCCAGTCAGAGAAAGACAAATACCATATGATCTCACTATATGTGGAATCTAATGGACAAAATAAACTAACAAGCAAAATAGGACCGGAGGCATGGATACATGGACCAGACCGACGAATGTCAGTGGGGAGCTGGTGGGGGAGATTGGATAAAAGAAGGTGAAGAGATTAGCCAAGGAACATATATGGTTACGCCATGGACACACACAGAAGTGTGGTGAAGGCCAGGGAAGGGGATTGCTAGGTGGATGTGGACAAAGGCGGGAGACATCGGTGATAGTGTTAACAATAAAAAGAAATAGTAGTACCTAAGGCAAAAAAAAAAAACTCATTTTACCTCAAGTTCAATTAAATTACATTAAATATATTAAATATTTTTAATACAATTCAATAAAACAGTTTATCTCAGAAAAAAAAAAACATAACAAAACAACATTATTCAAGGACCCTGCTATACATACAAAAGGCACTTTGGGGCAACTGGGGAAATATAAATATTGACTTTATATTAGAAAATAACTTAATTTTTTTAGATGTGATAAATGTTTTGTGGTTACGTAGAACAGTATCCTCACAGAAGATGTATAATGAAAGTATTTAGAGGTGAAGTGTCTTAATATCTAAAACTTATGGTTCTTACAAAAACAAAACAAAAATAATCGCCGAACCGGTTTGGCTCAGTGGATGGAGCATCGGCCTGCGGACTCAAGGGTCCCAGGTTGATTCCGGTCGGGGGCCTGTGCCTTGGTTGCGGGCACATCCCCAGTGGGAGGTGTGCGGGAGGCAGCTGGTCGGTGTGTCTCTCTCGTCGGTGTTTCTGGCTCTCTATCCCTCTCCCTTCCTCTCTGTAAAAAATCAATAAAATATATTTAAAAAAAAATAATCAGACGCACACATATATATATGTACACACAAACATAAAAGTAAAACAAATATGACAAATAATTTTTAAATCCCAGTGATGGGCATATGGGTGATTCTGTACTTCTTTTGTTCAGCTTTTCTGCTTAAAATGTTCAGAATAAGAAATTTGGAGGAAAAATGCATGCATAGCAAACAAGCCTTACCAATCTTTAACAGTCCATTTTGTGTTTTATCTACCTCTTGAAGGCTTTCTTGCTGATTGCAGGAAAAACTGAGTTCTCTTTTCCGAATTCCCCTGTTACTTTTACTATGAATTTAGCACTTAAGATTCTGCGTCGTACCTTGTCTGAATAAATATAAGTTCCCAGAAGACAAAATATAAGGTTCTTGCGTGGGGAGTACAATAACCAGATATAGAAATCAAACCGCTAAATTAGAATGAGATTATGGCAAGCCTTCGGCAGGCAACAATATTGTTAAATTAGTAACAAGGCATGGGTGTGAGTGATGAGGGCCTGTACTAGGAAGGGAGCAAGAAAAATGGAAAGTCCTAGGGACTGTGGGAAACACTGACACTCCTGGCTTTCATGGGGACCACCCCTCGGACCACGGCAGCCCCCTCCCAAGGTCGCGAGGACGGCGCCGCAAGGTCACCCATGGAGCGCGCCTTCACAGAGCTCCCCAAACCTGGACAACTCTGCACATCCCTGCGCTTTGTAACATCACAGAACCCGGGGTCTAACTGGAAGAGGGGGTGACTGGAAGCAGAATTCTTCCGGAGACACTCTCTTTCCAGTCACTCGCTGAGCCAACTGGATTTAGACAGGCTCCTGTTGCAACCTCACTCGCAAGGACGCTCTCCGCCTCTGCACACGTGGGCAGGAATAAATAGCCCGGGCAATACTCCGAAAGGTCGGATGTACCTACGTGATGAAATGCCCCTGCTCGTTTACGTGGCCGAGGCGCACAGAACATCCTTTCGCTTTAGGCCCGGCATTTGAGAGTAAAATGAATCTTGAATCCTTAAAGCAGAAATGAGTTGGGTTTGACGGCTTTTCCCAGGGAGAACAAGGGTGAATGAAGCCCAGGGTGAAGCCCAGGGTGACCTTTGCCCCAAGCCTCCGGCGACGACCGTGACCTTTCACCCACATTCCCGGCCTGCCCCGCGTCCAGCCCCCTATCCCCTCCCCCTCCCTCCCTCCTCCCATGCCCATTCCCAACGTCGCGTGCTCGCTGCTCCTCTCTACCTCCCCATAGCGTTCCCATCGCCAAGCCGCCTTCCGGGCTCCCTCTCCACGCCGGCCGTCAGCCTCGGTTTCCCCCAAGAAGGGCGCGTCGTCTGAACTCAGAGGACCCGAAGGCAGCGAAGCCCTTTCGGGGACCAGCCCGCGGACCAGCGGGGCGTCAGACACCCTCCCAAAGTCGCGAGGACGGCGCCGCGAGGTCACCCAGGGAGCAAGCCCCGCCGAGCCGCCCGCGCAGTCCCTCCATCCTTGGCCCTCCGCGCTGCCGTCTTTGGCTGCCCCGCCCCTCGGGCCCCGCCCCCCCGGGCCCCGCCCTCCGTCGGTCTCGGGAGGGCGGGGCATCCGGGCCCCCGTCACTGGCGACCCCGGAGCCCGATTTAGTCTCGGCCGATCGCGCGGGGTGAAGGACCGAGCAGTCGTTCAGCGAGTCGCCATGGCAGCGATGTTGAGGCGCAGCGGCGGGGTGAGAGGGAGAGCAGGGCCGGATGGGGCTGCGGAGGCGGGGTGGTTGGTGTGGTTGCGGGGTGGGCACCGGCGGGAGACAGGGGAGGGGGCGAGGCGGGAGGTGGGTCGGAAGCCGCGGTGAGGAAGGACCCCGTCCCGGGCCGGGATCCGGACCCTGGATCCCCCTTCCCCCCCACCCCGCCGTCAGGCTCACCCCTGCTCTCACGGTGGGACTGAATACGTCCCAGGTTTTGACCCTCCCTATCCTCTCGGCAGCTGCCCGGTATGCAATGGCGTCCACCATTTAGAATGTCCTTTTTCTGTCTCTGCTCTTGAACCCTTCACCTGTTTTCCCCGGGCGCCCCGCCCTTGGCCGAAGTGGACCTGTCTGCATTGGGCGGGCCTGTTTGTGCTGAACTGGCTTCGTATCTCTTCCATCTTGCAGCTCCCTGTCCCCAGCCCGCGAAGGGAATCTCATTCTGCAATTGATGTAGACGAGAAAATGCAGAATTCAGATAGTCTTATCGCGAAGGCCTGCAAAGTCACGGGGAACGGGAAGTGGATACTTAATATGTTTAATGCGCTTTGGGGTGTGCAATGAGGAGGAACATGTTTCATTCGTTCAAAAAAAGTAAAAAGAAAAAACCTACTGCAGAATTCTTCTTGAAGTTTGTATATTCCAGTGTTGTGTTGCACAGATTCTAAACTGTCACTAGATGCATTTTGCTATCCTAAATATTATTGATATATTCACACAAGACTGCCATTAAAAGGTCACTTATGGCTGAGTTAAGAAAGTTATGTTCCTGACCGAAGAAAGTAGCAGTGTTAGAATTTAGAATAATTCTAATGGATTGTTCCTCCATATTTGTCATTGCTGTGTAAGTTCATCGCTTCTGAAGGCACAAACAGGGGGATTTTTTTAAATGATTTTTAGCTCTGACACCAGAAAAAAAAGACAGATTTCTCAGTCTCTCTAAGGAAGGATATAGGAAAAAAAAAAAACCCATCCAGAAAACTTCAGCCCCTGTATCCCTTTTTTGACATTCCTGTAATGCTAAGGCCCTTATATCCCTAAGAAATATACAGAAGTGTTTAATTTTAGTTGTGCCATTATTGCAGAGTTGACGCTTGATTAAAGTTGCTCTCTTTTAGAGATTTGGAATTCTATTGCTCTGGGCAGAGAACCCAATGTACTAAAACCATATGGCACTATGCTTCCAAGACATCATCCCATTTTAATCATCTCAACAAATGGTGATTCCTTTTCAAACTCCATTTTCCAGGTTTGAAAAGAAGTGACAAGAAGTTTGTAACCGATCCAAGGTCTCAAAAATTTTGTGGAATGTCAAACTCAAACTCAACTTGAGTTTAGCAGTTCTAAGTCCAAATAATATACTGTTCCTATATCTGGTATCTACTAAAACACATCACTAAATGATTAACATTAAATTATATAATTTACAGGTCAATGGGCATTGTTCCCTGGCTGCAACTACCTTTGTACTTTGTTTTATATAAAATGTATTTTTTAAAAATCATATTTTTTGTAAATTATTTTCAATCTAATATACCCTATTTAAAGTTTCTCAGAAAGCCACTTTACATTTTTTTTTGTGAGGTCTAATTTTTGTATAATGGTATCTGAGCACATTGTTATGCCCAGATTTCAGGATCCCCAAGAAACCACATCAGGGAGCCAGCCAGTCCGATGCAAAAGCATAAGAGTCTGTATTCGAGCTAGCTCGGCTCCCCCACCTCGCCGACAAGCAGCAGGAAGCAGAGAGAGAGAACTCTATGGAGACGGGTTTTATAGGGGGTTGTAGTAAGGGGAGGAGAAAGGACTGTGCTCTGCCGATTGGCTTGGCCAGGCGCAAGTCGGTGTCTTGTTCCTGGGTGTGGCTAGCAGAGTCTTAGACTTCCCGGGAGAAGCTCCTTGCCAAGCACGTGGCCAAGGTAAGATGGAGGGCGTAGCCCTTACCCTGGGGCAAGATGGAGGGCGTAGCCCTCGCCCTTTCACACATATTTAGAAGAGTCACATTTTGGGGGTTGATTTTTGTGGGATGTTATTCTTCTTTATAGAACCTAATAACCAAGTAGGAGACTTGAAACTGAAAGAGTGGTATAGCAAGGCGGTCAATGGCATGGGCTCTTAGTAAATGTTAGAGTTAGAATCTTGGTTCTACCAACTAATAGCAGAGTGACTTTGGCCAATTTTACTTGACCTTCCTGAGCCTAAGTTTCTTCAAGTGCAAAATAGGAATCAATATAGTGCCTTATTCTTAGGCCTGACCTGGACAATCAGAGAATTAACATGTGGCATGTGGTTGTAAATGAGAATAGGTTTGGTCTGTTACAACTGGATAATGAGGACCAGAGAAACCGTGTTTCACTTCGAAAATAAAATTAAGCAAAATTACAAAGAAATGTGAATTTTCATACTTTATGTAATTTTTCAAAATTGTAGTATAAAGTATGTTGCGTAGTATAAAGTATGTAATTTTGAAAGGGCTGTTTAAATTAAGATACTTGATGATCTGTATTGTCACTTTAAATGTAGGTGATTCTCTTTGTAAGTTAAAGTTGTAATCTACATAGTGGACAGTTTTCTTTGTATAGATTTTGAACAACATAAGTTCTTGATCTTTTAGTATATTATTCAGTTTCTCTCTTTTTTTCTTTGCCTAACTTACTAGAATTGCCTAGGGATAGTTCCATCAAATTTCTTTGAAATATAAATTGTGTACTTTTAGCCGTCCTCAAACATTTACTCAGGAGTTAAGTGGTTTTCAATTTGATAATTTTAACAGATACAAGTGATTACTTTTTTTAAAAACTGTCAATGAGTTTAAAATGGAACAATAAGTATAGATGTGATTATATCTTTAGTATATCTTTGAAGAAATATACATATAGAGGGTGGGACAAAACTAGGTTTACAGTTGTGAGTACTCGAAACAGTTTATTCTTATATTATTATTTTTATCGAATTATTTTTCATATGGACAACTGTAAACCTACCTTTGCCTCACCCTGTATTTTAAGACAAGTAGTATATTAATAGTCTAGAACAGAACTGGCAAACTTAAAAAAAGTAAAGGAACAGGTAGTAAGCTTTGGCTTTTGTGCCGAGCCAGCTCAGCCAAGGGTTTGAAAGCCTGAGTGAGGGCAGCGAAGGATTAAAGAAATGACAAAGAGAATAAGGTGGATCTTCCTGTGCCTGGCTGAGGCCACACAGAGAGATCCAGAGGCAAGCTGAGCCTTTATTTTATAGTCAGAGGTAAACAAGATAGTGGTCACCATAGTTACAGTGTTCTTGTAAGTTTTACTTGTTTTGGCAGCACTTGCTACATCTCCCTCAGCCCATTAGCTTCCCAGATAAGATCTAGGGAGCTTCATAAGGTCAAGCTAATTATGCTAAGAGGACTGTGTCCTCTAAGCTGGGACTTGTTTGTGGCTTTGCCAACAAGGCTTAACCCTATAGCCGAGCCCTACAGGCTTTGTGGATCATATGGTCCCTGTGGCAACTACACAACTTTGGTGTGGAAGCAGCAATTGACAATATGGTGTGGCTGTGTTCCAATAAAATGTAATTTACAAAATTGGTGGCTACCCCTGCCTTAGAACATTCTGAGAATACTTAAACAGCAGAAGATAAAGAACATGATTTTAGGCTATTTTGGTTTGTGAAATAGAGTGAGATATCTTAGAAAAAATATCCTTCAGGCGGAAGATTCCTAGAGGCATTTGTGGGAGGCTCACAGGGACAGTGTCAAAGTTGATGGACTGGCCCTGGATGGTTGCTCAGTGGTTAGAGCGTCGGTGGGGGTTTGATTCCCAGTCAAGGGCACTTACCTTGGTTGTGGGTTCACTCCCCACCTGGGAGGCAGCCAGTCCATGTGTCTCTGTCATCTCTCTCTCTCTCTTTCTCTCTCTCCCCCCTTCCTCTCTCCCTCTCCTTTTTCTCCTCCCTCCCTCCCCCCTCATCCCTCCCTTTCACACCCTCTTAAAAATCAATGGAAAAAATATCCTCGGGTAAGGAATAAATTAATTAATTAATTAATTAATTAATGTACTGGGCAACTTTTGCACACAGTACAATACCATCCTATTGTTGCCAACACTTCTGCTCCTCAATCACAAGTGTCCTACAGCTTGTAGGTGAGATTTCCAGACTAGTGGTTCTAAGTTAGCTGCTACCCCTGACTATTATTTGCCTTGGAAATACTCCCACTTTAGCAATATAAATACTACTGAATAGATCTATTTTCATTGCTTTAAAAAAAATTCCTTTTTGATATGTGTTCAAATACCTGGTAATTGGCTTATTTACTATAGAAATCAAATTATAGTTAAAGGCACTCTGCTCTTGAGTGGGATCAAACAAGTTGTTGTACTCGTAATTGTCAGTACTCTCTTATTTGATTAATGTTTAATTTATCAAATTTATTTTAATAAAATTGTTCTTTACAGGCCCTGAGAAGTCTTTCTCGCTTTGACTGGAGATCACAACATACAAAAGCTGCCCTAAAACGTGAACAAGGATTTGGATTTAGTTTTGGTATATGTTTTGTTCTGTCTTTTGACTTTGAACTTAAATTATTATGTATATGCAGCTCTCTATGTATGTATTTGTCTAAAATGTTGATTTAAAAATCTTAGTAATGTCTGTCAATGAACAGAATCAATCACCATCCACTGATTGTCCACAGTTAGTCACACCCATTCTTGCTGACCTCGTTTTTTCTTTATCATAATTACCCTACCCATAGAGCTGTTAGCAGCATACATATTTTCCTGCTCTTCTTTCTAAGGATGTAGCACAAAATAAATAACAGAGCATCATCCCCTGCACCAAAGGGTGGCAGGTTCGATTCCGGTTCAGGGCACATGCCCAGGTTGCAGATTTTGACCACCTGTTGGCGGGGGTTGGGGTGGGGGGTGATACAAGAGGCAGTCTATCAATGTCTCACGTGTCGATGTTTCTCTCCCTCTCTCTATAAAATCAATTTTTGAAATGTTTACTAAATAAATAAATAAAATGAAGATCCTGGGCAAAGCATTTGAAATGAAAATCCCTATCTTAAGCATCCTTTGCCTCCTAAAGTACTGCTTGTTTCAAATTATTTCCTTTCCTCTAGTTAAAAGACCCATTTTCTCAGTTCACTTGTTCTCAGGAAATACTTGTAAAAGCTAGAAATATTACCTATCTCCTTTGGCTTAGATTTCTTTATATTGCACAATGAAATCTTGATTAGTTACAAAGTTCCTTTGTAATCTTTTGAGTTTCTGCTTAATCAAGGGTTAAAAATCTTCATTATATGCATAAATTTCTACATACTAATTCCATAGGGCTTTTTTCCCTCAACTCATTCTATTTTAATGTTTTCTAAATAACTTTCCCTTAGAGTTCACTGAACAGCAGAAAGAATTTCAAGCTACTGCTCGTAAATTTGCCAGGGAGGAAATAATCCCAGTTGCTGCAGAATATGATAGAACTGGCGAGGTAGGTATCTCTGTGTTTGTTTCTGTATATTGGGTAGAGCTCTGCATCTCCCCAGCGTGGCAGAGTGGCCTAATGTAGTAGGTATCCTGTTGGGTCCAGTGTCACAGTCTCCCTGTTCACCTGACCTGGGCACTGCAGGTGGCCCTCCACCCTCTGTTGTAGCTGAGCTTTGATTGCTATTGGCATGTCAGTGGAAAGGATTTACCCCCAGTCCGATTGGCTGCAAGGACTGGTTGTGACCTCAATGGAGGATCAGCTGTGTAGGACCCCATCCCACAGAGCAGGACTTATTTCAGCGGGGCTCTGGTGCCCACTGAGGCCACCCCTTGAGTGTGTCACTTATGGAGGTAGTTGGCTGGTGCTTTGATATGGTCTGAAGCTGTCCACAAGATAAGCTGGCTCTGGACTTCCCAGGAAGTGTAGGCTAAGGCCAGCCACCCCCACCCCATGTTCCACCCAGCATGAGCAACAGAGTGATCTGCAGATGGCTGCTACTTGTGCTGGGCTTGGAGGGCCCCCGGTAAGGCCAAGCTGCGAACCAGGCCTGATCCAAGGCCAGCTGCCGCTAGTGCCCATCCTTAGGCACCTAGCAAAAGGAATAGGGCTTGCAGAGGGCAGATGCAGTTTGTTTGAGAGACTTTAGGAAAGTTTGAATCATGAACCGAAACAGGCCCCTTGTATGGAAAAGCCACTGGAAACAGCTTGCGTGGGCCAGAAAGTAGGGTGCGATGAAGTCTCGGGGTATCACCAGTGTGGGATGAACTGTGATAGCCAGGTTAATGGAGACTCAGACATGGCACCTTTCTCTCGGCGCTGTGCGGGGAAGGGCTCAAAAAAGGAACAATGGACTCTGCCAGCACTTCTGTCTGGGAGAAAGCTGCCCCTCCAGCTTTTGCCCTTGTGTAAGACAATTCAGTTCCTCCCTGTGTGTCCCTGGTGCCTTTTGAGATGCTACCCAAGTGCTGGAGCTCAGAGTGAGTGAGTCCTAGTAAGTCTGTGTGCTGGCCCTTTAATAGGTACTACCTGGGACTCCAGCAGCCCTCCGTCTCCCTCAGCACAATCCCTGCTGGTTTTTACAACGAGAAGTTATGGAGACTTCTCTTCCTGGCACTGGAACCCTGGACTGGGTAGCCTGGTATGGGGCTGGGACCCCCTCACTCCTCTGGAGGCACCTTCATGGCTGAGATACCCCTTCCAATTTTTATCTGCCACCCATGGGTGTGAAACCAGCCCATTTTCCATCTCTGCCTCTCCTACCAATCTTGATGTGGCTTCTTTAGTAAATCCCTAGTTGTAGGATTCCATTCTGCTAAATTTCAGGTGGTTCTGAATTATGGTTTTCTGTAGTTTAGCTGTAATTTTGATGTGATTGTAGGAGGGTGCAAATACCACATTTGCCTGCTCTGCCATGTTGACCAGAAGCCTCTATGCATTTTAAGGAGAGAAAAATCTTTTACATTTTTTACAAGACTATATAATCAAGTTATCTAGATTCTTAAATGTACGTAGCTATTTTCTTTCATCTTTTTTCTTTTCTTTCAGTATCCTGTTCCCCTTATTAAAAGAGCCTGGGAACTTGGGTTAATGAATACACACATTCCAGAAAGTTGTGGTAAGCTTTCTTCACATTTTTAAATTCTAGAATGCATATAAGCAAGAAAAATTGTGAAACTTTGCTTAGTCATTCCTTTAAATACTTACTACCATTAAATATTGGCTTTCTACCCATGTCTCCCTGATCAGACTTCAATACTGCCTGCTTCTAGAAGCCTTGTACTCAACACTTAGAGAGGCATTATTCCTTCTTTATAACAGGTTCCAACCTTAACTTGATCCTAAACGTTAGTAAATTTTTCCTCCAGAATTGGTCAATTTGTTGCATTTTAATTCTACCTTTGAGTTTACATTTTATTAAGAGGTTTTTGTTTTTTTTCTGTGAGGTTTTCATTCCTTTCCTCAGATTTAAAGGATCAAAGTTTCAGCAGAGTGGAATCAAGTTTTTATAGAAGTTGAAACATGAAGACAAGTCCAGATTACAAATAGCAAGAGAATTTTTTTTTGAAATTTTTAAAACTTACTTTAGAGAACTATAATTTGTTACTGTGCTAGCCTTAGCACATTTTTAGTTTCTTGGGTTATAGATACTATATTTGCAAATATGCTTTTAAAACCATTAGATGAACTATTTTAATTATTTCTGATTAGGTCATATTGGAAGTAATAATTCACCTTAATTTCAGCTGAGATGTACTACATATTATAATGGGCTTTTAAAATATTTTGATACTGTAGGAGGTCTTGGACTTGGGACTTTTGATTCCTGTTTAATTACTGAAGAATTGGCTTATGGATGTACAGGAGTTCAGACTGCTATTGAAGCAAATTCTTTGGGGGTAAGTTACTTACAAAATTAATTGTGTAACTGAGCTGTTGTTAATGAGACAGTACTACTAGGTTAGGTGAGTTGGTAGAGCACAGTTTTCTTTTCAAAGGTACACAACATTCTTCAGTGAAGCCTGTATTTCTGATTCCAAAAACTTACCATTCTGACCTTGTCTCCAGTACTTGGAGTCCTAACTATCCCTGTGGGGAAACTATACACTTTGGCTGCTGCTTCAGTGGCAATTCTTAGGTAAGGGCAAGGCCAAAATCCAGCATTCAGGAGAAGGATCTTGATGGCTTGCTGCCACTGCTCGCAATGCTACAATTTAGTGAGCAATTTTTAGGAGGCCTGATTATATATACCACGTTATTTATCCTAAATTTAATTCTTTGTATATTATATATCAAGCCCTATATAACTTAATTTTATGAAAATACTTAGATTAACAGAGTTATTTTCTTATTTTAGCTTTCCAACTAGAAGGCAGAATAAAGGCCAGTTCTTTATACTTACCCATTGGGGGAAAATAGTTCTTTATTTTAATTGGTAGTATCTCTGAATTTACATACGCAATAAAAATATCTTATTTCTTTAATGTCACTTTTCTTTGATAGCAAATGCCTGTTATTATTGCTGGAAATGAGCAACAACAAAAGAAGTATTTGGGGAGGATGACTGAAGAGCCATTAATGTGTGTGAGTATGTACAGCTGCTGCTGGATGTCACTTTTAAAGAAGGGAACAGGGTGCTGTTTCTCCTTTTTAATCTATATGTATACTTTGGGCTATAGCACATTAAGACAGAAATTACCAATATATTTAGGTATGATGTTATTTCTGGGATGCCAAGAAAGTGTCATAATAATTACTCTTGGTTATTTCCAGGTGGAAGATACCTACTTATGTTAATATCTTAAGTGTCAGAAAAGTGTCATAATAATCCCCTAGCTTATTTCCACTAGAGAAATATCTACTCAATGGAGCACTCTGCAGTTCATGAACTGAGTGGCTGTATCACAAGTTCAGATTGAATGTATGACAGTAGTGTTTGAACTAGTAGTCTTTTGAACTAATTAATGTGAATGAAAAGATATAATTATTTGTTGAATGAGTAACTTGGAAAGAATATTTATAGATTAGCTAGAGGCCTGGTGCACGAATTCATGCACCAGTGGGTCCCTCAGTGTGGCCTGCGGGATCGGGCTAAAACTGGCTCTCCAACATCCCCCAAAGGGTCCTGGATTGCGAGAGGGCATTCACCAGTGCACGAACGGGGCCGGGGAGGGATGTGGGAGGTCGGCCAGCCAGGGAAGGACTGCAGGAGGGCTCCAGGGCATGTCCAGCCTGTCTCGCTGACCCCGGATGGGCCGGACCCCAGCAGCAAGCTAACCTACCAGTCGGAGCGTCTGCTCCCTGGTAGTCAGTGCACGTCATAGCGAGTAGTTGAGCAGCCATAGCATATCATTAGCATATTATGCTGTGATTGGTTGAATGGCCCACCAGACGACTGGACACTTAGCATATTAGGCTTTTATTAAATAGGACTAGAGGCCCGGTGCACGAAATTTGTGCATGGCGGAGGGTGGGGGCAGTCCCTCAGCCTGGCCTGCACCCTCTCCAATCCAGGACCTCTCATGGGGTGTCCGACTACCAGTTTAGGCCCGATCCCATAGATTGGGCCTAAACTGGCAGTCGGACATGCCTTTCGCAATCTGGGACTGCTGGCTCCTAACTGCTCACCTGTCTGCCTGCCTGATCGCCCTAACTACCTCTACCTCGGGCCTGCACCCAGGACCCAGGATTCCCTTCCTCTGGCCAGCCGCAGGCACCTGGGACCCAGGCCAGCTTCACCTGGGCTAGCCGCAGCTGCTGGTGCCCAGGAACAGGTGCGGGCGGCTTCTCCTTTTCCCAGGCCTCAGCCACTGGCGCCCGGGACCAGGGGCAGGCGGCTTCTCCCTCTCCCGGGCCGCAGCCACAGCTGCTGGTGCCCAGGACCGTGGGCAGGCATCTTCTCCTTCTCCCGGGCTGCAGCCGCAGCCACTGGCACCTGGGACCATGGGCGGGCGACTGCCCTGGCCGGCTTTGTCAGGAAGGACATTCAGAAGGTTGTCTGGAAGATGTCCAGTCTAATTAGCATATTACCCTTTTATTAGTATAGTTTCCCTGAGAGCTACTCAACAATGTTTAAATTGGATATTTTTTAAAAGCTCTTTTTATACATATATACACACACATACTGAGGTTCTATTCTGAAAGTGTTCTAACTGAAGGATTTTTACTTCTTTTTTATTATTAGTCAAATTTTAATCTAGGTTGTGATGTGATGCTGAAATATAATAAATTGTTGCTAGACTTGAGCTAATTGTGAGAATTAATCTGAAAGAGTAGAATGTAATATTTGAAAATACATGTTTTTTATTAAGGCACCTGTATTTTGGGCAAACTGCTTATTATAGACATTATGCATATTCCCTAGTTAATTGCTAATTTTTTTCAACAAATGAGGGTTTATTAAAAGGCTAATTCTTAGTATTATCTAAGAATTGTGTGAAATATCTAGAGTCTTATTCTGTAAAATATAGAATATTAGAAAATGGCTAAAAGTTATAGAATATTGATGCTTAGGAGAACCTGTCTTATTGCACTGATAAGAATATTTGTAATTAATCTTATTAGATATAAATAGGTATTTCTAGAATATTAGAATCTTTAAAAGTAGTTCAAGTATCTAAGCATTTTTTGGCAGTTTTATTAGATATTAATATCTTCAGTATATGTAAAAATACATTCACTATAGTTCCTAAGCTCTAACTTATGAATTAATAAATGTTTAATGTACATTTCATACCTTCTAGTGCATTATAGCAATAGATCTCAAAATACAAAGCCAAGGGTAAAATGAAAATAGTAATTTATAATTATGTTAATTATATATTACTATTTTATATTAATTTTAAGTTTTGGTTAATTTACACTGAGATTCAGTTAATTGTTTAACTTCTAATAAATATTTATAAAATTATACTACATACTAGAGGCCCGGTGCACGAAATTCATGCACTCAGGGGGTCCCTCAGGCTGGCCTGCGCCCTCTCACAGTCCAGGAGCCCTCAGGGGATGTCCAACTGCCTTAGTGCTGCTGCGGAGGTGGGAGAGGCTCCTGCCAGCACCGCTGCACTCGCCAGCCATGAGCCTGGCTTCTGGCTAAGTGGTGCTCCTCCCGTGGGAGCACACTGACCACCAGGGGGCAGCTCCTGCATTAAGCGTCTGCCGCCTGGTGGTCAGTGCGCATCATAGCGACCAGTCATTCTGCCATTAGGTTGATTGGCATATTAACCTTTTATTATATAGGATAATGTGTTTTATTTAAACTTTTAAAAAATATTTTTAACTATCTATATATGTATTAAAGCCTAAGCAACCATTACAACGGAAAAACTGGAACAACCAGTCAACCAGTCACTGGGATGTACACTGACCACCAGGGGGCAGACGCTCATCACAGTGGGAGCACAGCCAACTTCCCACAGCCCCTCCCCCCACTGGCCAACCTCCTGCAGCCCCTCCCCTCAGCTGGCCAGCCCCATCGATAGGCCTCGATCACTGGCCAGGCCAAGGGACCCCACCCATGCATGAATTCGTGCAGCGGGCCTCTAGTTTTAATTATAAAAAGAGTATAGAAGATTTAGAAAGGTATGAAGAACAAAAAACATCTATAATCCCTTAGAGATGAACTTAACTGGTATGACTGTTTTACTATATTCTCTATCAAATTTTTTTTAATTTTGTTTTATTGCTTAAAGTATTATAAAGAGTATTACATATGTCTCCTTTTTTCCCCCCCCTTGACATTCCCCTGGCCTCCTCTACCCCCCAGTGTCTTGTTTCCATTGGTTATGCTTATATGCATGCATACAAGTCCTTCGGTTGATCTCTTACCACCCCCCCAACCCTCCCGGGCCTTCCCGCTGTAGTTTGACAGTCTGTTTGATGCTGCTCTGCCTCTGTATCTATTTTTGTTCATCAGTTTATAATGGTCTTTATTATCCATAAATAAGTGAGATCATGTGGTATTTTTTATTCATTGACTGGCTTATTTCACTTAGCATAATGCTCTCCAGTTCCATCCATGCTGTTGCAAATGGTAAGAATTCCTTCTTTTTTACAGCAACATAGTATTCCGTTGTGTAGATGTACCACAGTTTTCTAATCCATTCATCTGCTGATGGGCACTTAGGCTGTTTCCGAATCTTGGCTATTGTAAATTGTGCTGCTATGAACATAGGGGTGCATATGTCCTTTCTGATTGGTGTTTCCGTTTTCTTGGGATATATTCCTAGAAGCGGGATCACTGGGTCAAATGGGAGTTCCATTTTGAGTTTTTTGAGGAAACTCCATACTGTCTTCCATAGTGGCTGCATCAGTCTGTATTCCCACCAGCAGTGCACGAGTGTTCCCTTTTCTCCGCATCTTCTCCAGCACTTGTCGTTTGTTGATTTGTTGATGATAGCCATGCTGACAGGTGTGGGATGATACCTCATTGTTGTTTTGATTTGCATCTCTCGGATGATTAGTGACTTTGAGCATGTTTTCATATGTCTCTTGGCTTTCTGAATGTCCTCTTTTGAAAAGTGTCTATTTAGGTCCTTTGCCCATTTTTTGATTGGATTGTTTATCTTCCTTTTGTTAAGTTGTATGAGTTCCCTATAAATGTTGGAGATTAAACCCTTATCGGTGATAACATTGGCAAATATGTTCTCCCATGCAGTGGGTTTTCTTGTTGTTTTGTTGATGGTTTCTTTTGCTGTGTCTATCAAATTTTTAATACATAGTAATGTGTTTTTAACAATTGAGGTCATATTATTTGTGCAGTTATATCCTTTATATATCATGAATATTTTCTTATATTCTATTCCTTTTTAAATACTATGATATTTATCTCTGTATAATATGCCTATTGATATACTATACATTATTTCACTATTACTTTGGTGAATATTTAAATTCCTTAGATTTTTGCTTTTAAAAGAATAATGTCATTTTAAAAATTGATACAGAAAAAATTGATATGTTTTGGGATTTAACTTTACAGTACAGTTGTATTGTTCTTACATATTCATAAGACTTAATCTCTTATCTAATCATGTGGTCAGATATATTCTTTCTGAGAAAGTGAGTATAGAGATAAAAGAGGACACCATAATTATTTTTAATACTATTTATTGCAAAAAAATTCCAAAAATAAAAACTGATTATATTATTTTATATATATTATATATAAAATATTAAAGTAATTAATTAGAAACCATATATCTTTTTTAAAGATTGGATTAAATCTTTTAAACAGTATATATCTAAAATATATGCATATTTAAGCAATTAGAAACAAGTATGAGGCTATTACAACAAGCTTGTTATGGGCAAGGCATTCAATAAATTCATTTGTCCAAACATGGTGTTAGAACCTAGAAATCTCATTAAAAAGCCTAACAGTGGTGAAGGAAACTCTTGTCATAAAATCATGCATTTCTAATGAAGCTAGGAAGTAACTGGCATATAACTGAAACAGCACTGAACTTGGAATCCCAAGACCTGGCTTCAATTCTTGGCTCAGCCATATTATAGTAATGGGATCTTATACAGTGACTTCAGCTTACAGTCTGTTCTGAAAATAGGGAGTATAATATCTCAAAGAG